CCTCCCCCCCATGGGGTGTCTTCAGGACTGTGGCCACCCTGGACGGTGAAGACACTTGACAAGGCAGTTGGCAAGGCTAGCTCGGTCTTGTACAATCTGGGAAGCGAAGCCGGGTCGGCCGAGGTCAGCACTGAGATGGGGGGCCACCAGGGAAGTCCACCTCTGAACGCCCCTTGCCTGGAGAAACCCCCCCCCCCCCGAGTGCTATCGACGTCAAAGACCCAGTGATGGATTTAGATCCGTCTTCCAGTTCCTGTATTACCCCAGCAAAAATATGTATTAACTGGCTGCTGAAGCAGTGAAAATATTTTTGTTTGGGATGGGGGGTGGGTGGGACCAGGGGCGGATGAAGGCTCATGGGTGGTGCCCTCAGCACTGACCCATCTTGGTGCCCCCCGTCCTTTCCACACTGACCCCCAGTCCTTTTTAGTGGCTGACCTGTCTGACCAGATATACAATGCAGGCTGCAGCAAGACGAAAATGTATTCACAGGATAACACCATATACCGCACAGACTAAGCTCTTCACCCTTTCCCCAACTTTGTGGTGCCCCCTTTGGCCCTGGTGCCCTAAGCACGGGCTGAGTCCGCTTCATGGTTCATCTGCCCCTGGACGGGACAGTATTAGCATGAAGGAGGAACACCCTCGGAAACCTCTCGTAATGCCAGCCTGATAAAGAAAGGAAAAGGGTGGGGCCAAGGAACCAAAGGAGAGCTGGGGCCACAGATTGTGGCCAGGCATGGTGGTTTGTTGTTGATTCATTAGGCCATCACTGGGGACAAGGGGGGTCTTCGTTCGTTTTTCGTTCCCTAGACCAGCTGGAATGGTTCGTTCTCCCGAATGAGTCTGCCTGGGCTTGTTCGGTGCCCAGGTCTTTCCCGGCGTCGAGGCTGATAGATTTGGGTGGGTTGCCGTGGTGGGTTGAAGCAACTGGACAAAGTCCAGGGACACCTTTGAGGACAACTTCATTCGATTCTGTGCATCATCAGCTTCTTGGTCTTAAAGGTGCCGCCGGACTCCAACTTTGCTCTAAGGACTGGTTGGTTGCCCGTCCATCTAACAGAGAAACTCTGCTGTTCTCTCAGTATCCAGGCTGTTTGGGTGGACAGAATGAAAATATTCAAGAGCTCATGGACTAATAAATAATGTAATGGGCTTTGAGAATTGTATTTTTGTGTCAGTTTGGTTTTTTACCCAGAGAAGGAGGTGTGAGCGTGACGGTGTTTGATGCAGGGTCACGGCTTCAATTTTGAGAGATTATGACCTGGGTTGAAAGTTCTGGGTGGGTATTACCCCATTTTCTCCCATCTGCAGGGGGGGGTTGCTCCCCAAAATCACATCGGATCCTCCACGATTTTGTGGCGAACAGGAGAAGAGAAAGGAGGAGGAGGTGTTCCCCCCCCCACGTCCAGCTGTATGATGGGAACGTTGGTTTTAATGCTTGTTTATGTTGAGAGAGTATTTGGACCGAAGTGGTTTTAAAGGGAATACAGTGGAAATTAAAAATCCAGTCATTTTTACCGGCAGATGACACTTGACCGTATCTACTGCTGGCTGCAAGATGGAAGGCCATTTTAACTCCGAGGGGATATTATAGGGCCATTTCCACAAACTGGGCCAAATGAGTAAGTGCATATGAAAATGTGCTTGAGGAAGATAGAGCATGCGGTTTAGTTAAAAGGAAAAAAGACCCACATGGAAAACCTCTGTGGACATAAATAACATTTCGGCCTCCTTTCACAGTTGTGTACTAGAAAAATTTATGCCACCGGCCCTGAAGCCACAAACTCCTGAAGCAAAGTAATTAACTGTTGGTTAGAATGCAAAGAGGAAATGGAAGATGGCGTGTTCCCTTATCTCTTATCCCTAAAGACATGAGCTTTAATTATTGCTCGCTTTATTTACATTAACTACCCAGAGATGTTTTTCAAAGAATTGATCTTCTGAATTGTGTGTGTGGAGCAGAATCCTTTGTTCGGGAGGTGGGTGGGGTGGGTGGGGTGGGTGGCTTTCTTCCTCCGTGGGCGTTGCGTGCGGATGTTGTCGTGATACCGGGAACAACGTCTTCTGACTCTGTTTGTGGTGGTTGCGTGTTTTGTGGGGGGATTCTAAAACTGGAGCAGCAGAGGATGCGAGGGCGGAGAAACAGAACCTGCGTTGCCCATTGGGAGAAGAAGGAAACCCGCAAAGGCAGGCGAGGGAGAGGGAGCTTTATTTATTCATTTGCCTGAGACGTGCAGAGCAGTCAGGTAAAAGAGAGTGAAATCCCAGTGAGAGACTGGATGCTTCTGTTGGACATCATACAGAACCGGAAACCACAGAACATGGCCAGAGAGCCAGGTTTGGCCTGAATCCGAGGCGTGCACTCTGGTTCCTGATTTAGGGCCTTCACTGGCTTGGAGCCTTAGTGTGGCTTTATTATTTATTTCCCTCTGAAGATCTTCTTAAGGCCCGACGCGTGTTGGATCAGTTGGGAAAAGGGTTTTTTTAAAGCTCAGATTGAAAATGCAGACCCTGAGGTGTGGGGTGGGGTGCGGCTCTTCTCAGTTGCTGAACTATCCAGCTTCTGTGATCGCTTTTGGATCTGAATCGTGTGCTGGATAAGAATGGGGCTGCAGTGGCTCAAGGGGTTAAGATGCTGAGCTGCAGACCGGAAGGGCGATAGTTCGGCAGTTCAAGACCCGGGTGTGCCGCATGACAGAGTGAGCTCCCGTCTCTGGCCCCGGCTCCTGCCAACCTAGCAGCTTGAAAGCAAGAAATTGCAAGTAGATAAATAGGGACCACTTTGGTGGGAAGGTGACAGCGTTCCATGCGCCTCGGCGTCTAGTCATGCTGGCCACATGACCACGGAAATGTCTTCGGACAGTGCTGCCTCTTTGACTTGGAAACGGAGACGAGCACCGCATCCCTAGAGTCGGATTTGACTGGCTTTCGAGCAAGGGAAACCTAGTGGATAAGAGTGCTGGACTACAGTCCGGGAGTCCCGGGCTCAAATCCCGGCTTGTGCCGTGGAAGCCGGCTGGGTGACCTTGGGCCAGTCACGCCCTCTCAGCCTAACGGGGTTGTTGTGAGGACAGAATGGAGGAGAGGAAGAATGATGCCAGCCGCTTTGGGTCCCTCCTGGGGTACAAATGGATTAAATAAAGAATAGTGAGCAAGAGGGGATATGTGTGCTCGCCCCAGGCGAGAACAGCTCCACCCCCCCGCCATCTCATCCCCCCCCTTCACCTGGTGGAAGGCCAAAGAGCCGGCTGGAAGGAACGGAGGTGCCGCCATGTCCCTCCTCCCCAGCCACCTGTCACCTTTGCAGCTGCCATAGACTCGGGGGGGGGATGCTGAATACTGGATAAGATAATCTCTGTCTGTTTCTCTGCAATGTTTGGTTTCACTTCTCCCTGCATCCTTATCGCCCCTTAGTCCGAGCTGGTGACCTTGGTACCTTGTGACTCCTTTTCCCTGGGAATGCCTTCCCGTTAGGTTAGGCGGGCTTTTGCGTGACTCCTGATTGGCCCCGAACCGCCCCCTGACCCTTTTTGATTTCTGTATCTCACTAGCGTACCCGTGCTTGCTTTTAGTCTTGACAGTGAATGTATGCTCAGGAGACCTGCCTTTACTGCACTCAATAAACGGAAACTTTTTGAAGGAGTGTTGTTGAGAACTGATTGCTGCGGGACTCTGATACCACCCTAATATTTAACACACACACACACACACACCGTGGGCCTAGTAGCCGCCGCCTGTTTCGTAAGGCTTTGTCATGGGCACTCTGCAAGAGGAGCCCCAGTTAGGTCCCGGAAGTGGCAGGCTTCCGTGGTCATCCCAAACCACTCGTCTTGGAATTAGGGTCCTGCCCCAAAGGAGGAGGCCAGCGTGAGTTGGGACTGCCGGGCACGAACCCCCCGGGGGGAGGGAAGGACAGGTGCTCTTCGTCTATAGCGGAGTTGGTCCTCCTTGGTCTGGCACCCAAGGAATGTGGATGAAGGCCGTTTGAGGGGAAACTAAATGTACGCTCCAAGCCAGTAAATACATTATGCTACGGTGAGATAAAACCGGAAGAGAGATTGAACTCATGTTTTTCGTCTACTTTAGTTACTTCATTTACACCTACCTGTCTCCGCAGTGGATTGCGGTGTTCTCCTCTCTTGTACCCTCACAACAACCTTGTGAGGTACGTTGAGCTGAGGAGGTGGGACTGGCCCGGGGTCACCCAGCACCAGTGCTCCCTCTAAGCTGTGGAGTCTTGTGAGCAAAAATTCTACCTTGTGAGCTACCGGCGTTAAAGCTGTGAGCGAGCGATTTGGCTGCTACATCAATTAGTTTGCTCTGGAGTTGTCCTTCCTGAGCGAAGGCAAAAATGTGTGAGCTGGAGGCTAAAAAACTGAGAGCTAGCTCACACCAGCTCAGCTTAGAGGGAACACTGCCCGCACGCTTCTGTGGCACGAGGGGGAATTGGAGCCTGGGTGTCTCCCAGATCCGGCCCGGCACTCTAACTGTGGCCCCCACACCGGATCTAGTGGCAGCAGAGAGACAAGACAGAGCCGTTTGGAGCTAAGGTGGAAGGACGAAGAAGGGGAAAGGCAGACGGGAAAGTCTCAAGAACCCGGCCTCCGGCTCGCAGCGAGTGTCACTGCAGCGTTTATTCCAAGTTCGGGCAAAAATTGCATTCTGAAGTGGTCATTAAAGTCTTGGGGGATGACTCTGCTGAAGCGTCCCTGCTGTCTCGGGAAGAGATTTAAGTGCATGTCAGACTTCTGTTGAAATCAGCGGGGCTTAAAAGTGCTTACATGTAATTTTTTTCTTTTATACATTTGCTGTTGGTGGTATCATTAATGGAGAGGAGTCCGGGGGACTTCTGTGTGCTGGAGACACCGTCGCTCACCCTGCACTGAGTGAACGAACGGCAGGGTTGTTGCCGAGGACTTGAAGGTGTGCCGCCTTTCTCACTGATTTTTATCCTCCTTTCTTTTCTTTTTTTTTTGGGTAGGTGCCGTTCTTGACCATGAGAATTCCTGGGGTGCGATCTTGATTTCAAAGGTAGGTATCCTCTCTTTATTTGAGTCTGTTAATTTAATCCATAGTGGAGGTGGGCTAGAGAGAACGCTTTTGGCATTCCGTGCTCCTGGGAGTGGAAAGAAAAAAACCCCACTTTCTTTTCAGTGTAACGAAGGCAGTGAGGTACGCATCAAATGCAAACGGTCTTCTCCTGCTGCTTCATCCACGAAGGTGCCAGTTTTCATCGTGTTGCAATTTCTAGGTATGGAGAAGTAGGCTTGTAAACCCAAGTCTGTGTTTTTCTCCACTCTGATGTCCAGGAGGTCGTTCTTCGGATTGGAGCTGACTTGTGCGTGTATTTCTACAGTTCCAAAAATCGGATCAGTGCCACGCCAAGGAGTTTCACCTCTCAGGCACTGACTGTTTTTATGGGGAACGGAAGATGCTTTAGGGGTTTTTCATTTTTTTAAGAAGGGTTATTTTTTGCAAAACCTGAGTAGAGTGTTACCTCATCAGTAGCGGGTGCAGAATCCACCTCCCCTCATTATTCTGTAGGGACGGATACCCGCAAACCATGGCAAAAGTGCCTGTTCCTTTGGAGCAAAGGAGGGAAATGTTGCCCTCGCTCTTTGGCTTGGAGATGCCATTGCGTAGCCAGATCTGGTGGGCTGCACGCTTTGATAACGCCATCCTCCTCTTTGTGAATGCCGCATGGAACATGCCGAAGTTGTACACAGGGGGAAGAAGCAGCTGCAAATAGTTTGATAATATACAGAAGAGTTAAAGGGAGTGTCTTGAAACTATTGTTTCCCCCCACCTCCCCCATTTTCCTGACTTTTTATTGGCGACAGTTCAGTGCAGCGATATTTTTTTTTAGCACACCTGTAAGCAGGGTCTCCCGTGTCTTGGTCATGAAAACATGTCCTGGACTTTGTACAGACCAGAGTAAATTGCTTTGTTACTGGTGCTTTGCCACTGTATTCGGACAACTTTTATGTTGAATATGCAAACCAGCATCATCCGTTTGTCGTCTGTGTTTCGAAAGGGCTCAGAGCCTACAATCTCAAAAGTAGGCTTAGAAGAAGAAGAAGAGGAGGAGATTGGATGTATACCCCGCCCTTCACTCGGAGTCTCAGAGGTTCTTCCAATCTCCTTTCCCTTCCCCTCCCCACAACTGACACCCTGTGAGGTACGTGGGGCTGAGAGAGCTCTTTTGAGGGCTGCCCATGAGAGTACAGCTCTGAGAGAACTTGTGACTGACCCAAGGTGACACCAGCAGGTGCAAGTGGAGGAGTGGGGAATCAAACCCGGTTCTCCCAGATTAGAGTCTGCACACTTAACCACGACACCAAACAGGCTTTTAGGGAGTGTGGGGGCTGGCCATTTCAGACTCTGGGTAGTAACAGAGCACAGGATCAGGAGATGGCATGGAAAACGGTCTGCTCATTTTCTCTCAGCCGCTGAAAATGCCGCCTTCCTTTCAGAAAGGGGCCAGGCTTGGCCAGCCATGGTGCATGCGAGTCCCTTGTGGGGGAAAAGCAAGAGGGGGGAGGGGGGCTAGATCGGGGTGAGGCTAGCAACTCATTTTTCAGTGTGTGGGGGGATTCTGTGACCTTTTTCAGGGGTAGACTCAGCCTGGGAGGTTCCCATGTTGCTCTGAAACAGCAGAGCGAAGTTTGAGTTGGTGGCACCTTTAAGACCGGTGTTCCCTTTAAGCTGAGCTAGTGTGAGTTCGCTCACAGTTTTCCAGACTCCGGCTCACACATTTTTTTTGTCTCAGCTCGGGAAGGATGGCTCCGGAGCAAACTAATCTAACGCAGGAGCCAAATCGCTCGCTCCCAACTTTAACGCCAGGAGCTCACAAAGTAGAATTTTTGCTCACAAGACTCCACAGGTTAGAGGGGGAATTGTTTAAGACCAACAGAGTTTAATTCCAGGTGTAAGCTATTGTGTGCATGCATACAAAAGCTTATACCTTGAAGAAAACCTTGCTTGTCTTAAAAATACGCCCCTGGAGTCAAACTTTGTCCTGCTTTTCCAGGGGTGTGATGAAATGACCCAGCCAGCTTCTAACCCTAATGCTCAGCCGCAACATCTCTTTACACTCCGTTGTTGTTTTTTTTGCTGGCACAGACCTAGAGGTTTGTTCTGGGAGGAGAACGGGCTATTTGTCAGCCGCTGCAGCGTGGTGTGGTGTTTCCTGTCGGGTCTGTATTATCTCCAGCACTCTGTAACAACGTCTGTCTAAAACGGCCACATGAGAGACGGCCCGGGACCCAGGAGTGCTGCGGGGTGTGTGTGTGTGTGTATGTGTGTGTACCTTCCCTCAACAAAACATCCAGGAGTTGCTGTCTCTGCCTTAAATCAGCCTTTGGAGGCTGTGGCGGACTGGAGGCGAGCCAGTAGACGGAAGCCTGTTTGCTGCTCTTGAATCACTGACTGTTTTACGATTGGTTTCAAGAACTGGCTGGCTGGGCCCATTCCGTTCCACTGCAGGATGCTGCGGAGGGGATGGCGTTTCCCCGGGAGCCTGGAGGCCTGCCGTGAAGCAGAATATGAATCCGTGAGATCCATAAGGGCCTGATAGAAGAAATTCCCTGTCATGTGCGTGGCATGTCGGCTCGGCTCGCTGAGAGAGAGAGCGAGAGAGAGCTCTGTGGTCTAGTCTTCATTTCAAACCCCCCTCCCCCTGAAGTTTTCTCCTGTTGCTAAATAGCACCACTATAAATAGTCAGCTCTTGAGGGATGTTGAAGCCGCACATGTGGTGGCTGCAATACAGAAGGCGAGGAGCGGGTCTCCTCCTGACTGCCAGGAGGACCCCCGGAGACCGTGGGGCGTGCGGGGGGGGGGGTTCAGAGTATCAAGATCCGGGAGCCCCCCCAGCCTTGGTTTGACTCCCTGCTCTGCCCTGGAAGTTGGACAGGTGGCCTTGGGCCAGGCACACGTGGACTGTGGCGGAGACCCACAGTAGGCCTGGGGTGAAAAGGAACTCGGCCAGCGCAGCAGGGGGACCCCCCCCCTCGTGATTTAGCCCCTCTCTGCTGGGCCTCACCCTCTTGGCCGTGCCGCCTGAGGGAAGAGACGTGTCCATTGGATCCATGAGTGGCGTACTCTGGCTTTCAGGACTTTTAATATTGTACGTCTGATGGGCTCTTTCTCAGCCTTTTCCGGCTTGGAGGCGCAGACTCTCTCCAGAAGTGGTAGCTTTTAAAAAATCTGTGCTTGCTCTAGTTTAGCTGGCAACGGTATCTGTGAGGCGTCAGGAGGAAGGGACACTTGGACCCCCACTCCTCTCCCCGTTGGCGGTGGGGAATTGTCCCTCATCTGCCGCAGAGGGAAGGAGGGAGAGTCCTCCTCCTAGCCCAAGGCAGGTTCCTGGCCGACCCACTTCCGGGGGGGGGGGGGCAGGCCAGTCCTTTTGCCTGTCGGAAGAAGCTGTCCAGAGCGGCCTCTCTGTGTGTGTGTGTGAGGGAAGGAGATGCCTCCTCATGCATTTGTAAAAAAAGGTAAAGGTCTCCCTTGCTCGAAAGCCAGTCGAGTCAGACTCTAGCGTTACGGTGCTCATCTCCGCTTCAAAGCTGAAGAGCCAGCGCTGTCCGAAGACGTTTCCGTGGTCATGTGGCCGGCATGACTAAACACCAAGGCGCATGGAACGCTGTTCCCTTCCCACCGAAGTGGTACCTATTTATCTACTTGCAATTTCTTGCTTTCGAACTGCTAGGTTGGCAGGAGCTGGAACTAGAGACGGGAGCTCACTCCGTCATGCGGCACACCCGGGTCTCGACTTGCTGAACTACTGGACCTTCCACAGCCTGCAGTTCAGCGTCTTAACCCCTTGAGCCCCAATCAAATGCTGTGCCTCCTGATTCCTGGCAAGTAGTTCTCTAAGCAAATCAGTTTGATTGCCCGTTTAACAGGACAATTTGACTTTACCTGCTTTGCAAAGGGGGGTGGGCCCCTCTTCCTCCTCTTTGTGGCCTGTGGGATTTGCATTCCCATCATTGCCTGTGATAACAAGGTTGGGCACTTTTTGAGCTTACTGTTATGCCAAGGGGAGGGGGGTGAAAAGCAACGCTCCCTCTAAGCTGTGGAGTCCCGTGAGCAAAAATTCTACTTTGTGAACTACCTGCATTCAAGTTGTGAGCGAGCCATCTGGCTGCTGCATCAGTTAGTTTGCTCTGGAGCCCTCCTTCCTGAGCTAAGACAACAAGTGTGTGAGCCAGAGGCTAAAACACTGTTAGCTAGCTCACGCTAACTCAGCTTAGAGGAAACTCTCCTGCCGGCTTTGTCCTGAGGGTGGGGGCTTTGTAACGGAACAGATGGGCTTTGCTTTCTCAGTGTGTCTTGCTTTGATATAGCACCATGACAAAAACGGTAGGGTGGGCACTGGCCTCTGCAGAGAATATTCACCTGGAAGGAAGACTCTGGGCCGTCCCACCCCCCAAAAAACCCCATGGAATCAAGAAAAAGAATGGGCTGTCTTAAGTTCACATACAAGTTAAAGTTATGTCCAGTGATAATAATTAAAAATGTTTTTTTTAGGGGGATGAGTTCAGGATGCTGGTCTGGCCCTGCAGGGCTCTTCTGATGTTCTTATCATAAGTATTCTGGTAAAAATGTGCCTGAATATTCGGTGGCGAATGACCTGAAAGAGATGCAGTTAAATCAAAATGTGTTGTTTCCTTGTGGTTAAAACAAATGCGCCGCTTACTGATTTTTGAGTGAGAGGTTACCGTGGTCAGGAACTGTGTTCAGTTTCCATATATATATATATACATATCTCTGATAACATGCTTCCTCCCCCCCCCCCTTCCAGCATATAATTGGGACTTTCCCATAGGAAAGGAGGGTTATTGGTACAGGGGGGGGGGAAAGCAATTCCGTATCCGTCCCCTTTGGGGAATGAGAGCTTTCGCAAAGGTTACATTAAAATGTGCTCCCAATTATGCTAATGACAGCTACCACAATGATCCACGGTTCAGCTTAATGGCTCAGGATTCATCTTCCTGTTCCTTTATGTAGTGAGTTACGAGGGATGTGT